CCATCTTATTCCTGATTCAGAGTCCAGGACATCTGAGTGTACCCACCGAGGGTGTTCAGCATCATCTTGGAATGTCAGAAAGATTTCTATAAAAGTTAGAGATTCAACTAGATTGACTCTGTAATTTTGGGCTACTCCTCTGATTAAATCATTTTGAAAACTTACTTGGATGACTAAGACACATGAGCATGTATTTGATACATTCCAGAAATGTTAAGGCTTGAGCTTCAAAAACTGTTTAGAAAATATGAGGATTGTATGATCTCATATATACATATTTATGTAAGTTTAAAAACGTCAAAACCATAGAAGCAAAGAGCGGGGTGGCAAGCCTGGGGATCAGAAAGGTGACAGAACACAGGCAATTACAGTTAGACAGGAGGACTAAGTTACTATGGTTAAGAAAAACACTGTAATACTGAAAACAGCTAAGAGTAGATTTTAAAAGGGAAGCATATGGAGTAACAGACATGTTAATTAACTTCAATTAGCCATTCCATGATGTTGTAGTCAGGGTCTAGAAGAGAAAAGATATAATAAAGGACACATAATTTATAGGATTGTCTTATAAAAGTCACTCAAAGAGTCAAATACAAAAGAGTGAGGAAATCTGTCCATAGACTAGAGACCCAAAGAATTCAAGTAAGGGCTTGGATCCCATGGCAATGTCCTCCATGAGTCCAGCTGGAGGCCTAGCGTCCATAACAATGTCTCATGCAAGTCTGTATCAAGGATCTGCACCAGGATGTGCCAAAGGTCAGTAGTGAAAGCTGGAAAGTCTGTGCCAGTGGGATGAAGAATCTGTGCCAGCAGGTGAGGGATCTGCACTGGAGCCAGGAAGCAATGCTCAAGGCAAGAACCAGAGTTCCCTCAGAGTGAACCACAGCCATACTTAGTGACAACAAGCTCCTGAGCTCCCCCAGTGATGGGAACACTGAGTTCATACCACGAAACCCAGAGTGACCAGCTCCTCGAGGAGAACTAACAGCAGAACCTCTTCCTGTCCAGGTCTCCTTCTTATGCTGCTGGCAACAATCCTCAGGTGGGCCTTCCACACCCAGAACCACACTGATTCAGTTCAGCTGGGTGTTACCAGGTGTCAACTCACCACACATGACATATACATGTGTGAAACACCATGTTTTATAACAGAAATACATGCAATTTTTAAATAAAATATGAGGTTTCCCAGTTATAAACTTGATAAGGATACAGGAGACATTTGACTTAGTCTGCCAATCACTCTAAACACTTATTTTTTTCTACGTTTCACTTTTCTGTCCTGTATAAAGTGTAGCAGGCAGCCTAAGTTGGGATTCACAAACCTAAATGTCTGCCAGAGTCAGAAGGCAGTCTAAAGATGAAGAAGGAGGCTTGGTGGAAGGATGTGAGAGTGCTGAGGCGAACCAGAAAGCCCTTCAGAGGACCAACCACCACACCACTACTCAACTCTAGTATGTTGGCCAGGTACAAATACCAACCAAGTAACATTAATACTTTGCCAGAAGAGAAAACAATTTAATTATTAAGTGAAATCAAGACTACACGGTAAATATGTTAGGATGGTGGGTCATGCCGTATCTGTCACAGTTGCAGCCACAGATGATCCATAAACTAATAGGCGTGGCTGTGAGCATTTGAATTTGCTCACAAAACAAGTGGCTCTCATAGGCCCCTCCCCAGATTGCCAACCTCTGCTCTAGAGAGTCTCTTGGTACAGATATCTCTTCAATACCATTTCCCTCATTTACCGCTCATTTATCAAGAAGCATTGCAGGAATGAAAACTAAGTTTGCTTAAGACGAACACTAAGTAAACACCCCATAAAGAAACTGTTTTCCCACAGAATACACTGCCGGTCATAAGAGTTGGATCCCTGACCTTTACGCTGTTCTCTGGGTAGCAGTTAGCTCACTACCCAATACTACATCACACCTTATAGCTCTGCTATGGTGAAAGATGGTCTAATTTACACTGCGTAAGGCAGATAGCTCTTGATACCAAACCTTCTGCATTCAAACCCAGCCTTGGTCACTTAAGACCGAGTAACACTGGGTAAGTTTTTTAATCATCTTCTGCCCAGGTTTCTCATCTGCAAAACAGAATACATTTGATGGGATCAGTGATGCAGGAAATGAGTTAATGCAAAACAAAGTCAAGGACACAGAAACAACCTCAAGCATATTAAATTATTTGATTTTTGATAAAAGAACCAATAATGTACAGTACAGGTAAAAGAGCTTCTTTAATAAGTGGTGCACATGCAGAAGATTGAATGTAGATCCATATTTTTCACCACGTACTAAATTAAAATGAGAATGGATTAAACAACTAACTGACAAAACAAAAACACTCGACCTGGAAGAAAAAACAGGTAAAACTCTTGAACTCATGGGCATAGGCAAGGATTTTCTGAACAGAATTCCTGTTTTACAGGAAAGTAGGAAGAATCAACAGATGGGATTGACGCAAATTAAAATGCTATGCCCACCCTAAGAAAGAGCCAACAATGTGGAGAGAAAACCTACAGAAACCAAAAAAATTCTGTCAGCTATTCCTCAGATAGAGAATTAATATGTAGAATAAAGAACTCAAAAATTAGACCGCCTCAAAAACTAAAAGACCCAACAAGAAATGAGCAACTAAAGTGCACAGGTATTTCACAGAAGTACAATTGGTAAATAAATACATGAAGAAATGCTCAACATAACTTGTCACTGAGAAAATTAAAATTAAAACAACACTAAGATTCTACCTTACCTCAGAAAGAAAGGCCATCATCAAGAGATAAATTAATAACAAACACTGAAGAGGCTTCAAGGAAAAGGCATCCCTTTTTACACTGTTGGTTGGGACACAAACTAGTACAACCACTTTGAGAATCAGTATGGAGATGCCTCAAAAAACTGAAACTTGAAATTCCATTTGCCTCAGCTATTCCCTTTCTAGATGTCTTCCCCCCAAAATTAAGGACATTATATTACACTGATACACGTATGTCCTTGTTACAGCAGCATAATTCATATCAGATAAATACTGGAAGTAGATTACATGTCAATCAACAGATCAATAGTACCAAAAATGTATTTATACACAATGGAGTACTACTCCGCCATTTTCACAGAAAAATGGGTGCACCTTGAAACTATAACGTTAAGTGACATAAATCAGATGTGTGAACTTCAGCATTATACTCTTTCTCTTACATGAGAAACTCAAAGTACAAATAAAGAGCAAAGTAAAAGATAATTCGAAATAGGGAGGTAGATCTTTCTAGAACAAGAGAGACCAATGAGCAATGGAGAATAAAAACATGCATTAAGATGTGTTATCTATATAAGCCTGTTTCACCCAAGAAAGATAAATTTTATGTATTGCAAACATGTAGCAAAATGGAGGGTGCTGATGTCAAGAGATGGATGGAGTGAGGAGGGTGGGAAGAGAAAAGGGGATAAACAAAGGAATTAAGATTCACTGTGTACATGCATCAGTTCCCCTACAGGGAATGTAAGCATGCACTCCAAACATGCACTGATAAAACTTATGTATAAATTGCTTACAATGGCATCTAGTGCAAAGTATTCAATTTAACTATAATTTTAACTATTATCAATTAATATACATAGCCCCTGATTTTTTCCACTTGATATATTATGACTTTTTCATAATGGCTAAGAATTGGATGGAAAGAGAACCCTGAAAAACCAGCCAGGATGAAGCAGGTGTACCACCTTGCTGACTGACAGACTTCTCAGCTTTCGCCAAGGTCCTCTGTCATTAGTTCCACAGAGAGTATTTTATGGAACACTATTAGCTCTTACAAAGTCACCTCTGGAAGAAAGTATGGAGTACCTTCTTTCCAATGATTGACCCCCCAAAAAATGTTGTCTGTCGAAGGGTACCACTTAAGAGGTGTTTCACCATCTGCAGGAGAAGTGGGTAGCCTCCACAGAGCAGGTGATTGAGGTCTCCCAGGCCAGAAGGGCAGGAGCAAGTGTAGCAGAGATGGCCTTGGGCTTTTACAGCGGATCCTACTTTGGGCAAAGAATGGACAACTCACTCTCGATGAAACTCCTTCCAAAGTCACACACAAATGTCTTGTGAACACTATGATTCTTCTCTTCTTTACTAAGGAGTTGTCTCTGAGACTAAAAAGTATATATGAGCAATACCTGGGGTTAGTCACATAGCATTTAGTGTAACTTCTACCTTTTGTGTTTGAATCAATCCCGAAAGAAAAAGTGATTTCCAAAATTAACTTGTATACAGAAATAATACTCGTGAAAGTCTATTTTAACATAACTTTTATTATATAGATTGGAAGTCTATTTTAACATAATTTTTCCTAAATATACCATATGGAGCTACTTCCAGTAATTCCACATGTAAAGCCTCCTAAATAATGAACAAAGAGAGGAGAATATTTGAAACAAACTAAAAATGCTTATTTTCTAACAGAGAGCAAAGTCCAAAGAAAAAATTGGTAATTCCCAACTTTGAAGATTTTCCATAAATGGACAGTTTGATATTTAGTACTAGTTAAATAAACTCTCTTCTTAGGTGATGGCTGTTGATTTAAGCAACATAATTGAAATCTTACTTCAAGATGATAAATATCAGTTTATTAGTATATCACTTTTTAAGAACTAAAAATAGTAAATTATTATGTTGTATCAAACCTAGCAATAACATTTGCACTTAAGATGATAATTTTAGCTGATTTGTAGTTTGACGTAATATGTTTGACTAACAAAAATTTAAGAATAATAATACAAAAGCCTTTCTTAAATAATCATGTCTTGTAATCAAATGTATGCTGTGAATGGCTGTGAATGACTTTAAAAGCTAAAACAGATTTTTAGTGACAAATATATACATATACATATATATGTATGTTCTGTGCACACACTTATATATGCCTGTGTATATTTTTTTACTGGCATTTTTATTGAACAGTGTAAAACATTAAAATGGTATTAATTCTTGTGCCACAGACTTACCACAGCTCAGGTTGCTTTCAGCTTTCAGAGCCAGGCTTGGGATATTCCAAAAGTCATTTTGCCAGTCAACCACATTCCCTTGCACATTACAGCTGAGGTTGGAGAGGATTTTCGAATTCATGGTAAAATTCCAAAGTCTAAAGTTATAAATGTCCCCTTTCAGAGAGGCTATTTCATTTTTATTGGATCCCAACAACAATTTCCCATTCCCAGGAATAACTTTACTAATGGTAGAGTTACATGGAACTGATTCATAGTTTCTTCTGAAATTTATACCAACAGAGCCCAAAGAATTATTCCAAACAATGCAGAGCTGCTCAAAGTTTTCTGTGAAAATATTTTCCTTTTCCTTCACAGGTAATGCGCTGTTCAGCAAGCATTTTGTGCCAGCAATATACAGGAAGTAGCCCTCATTGGCCTTTCCAAAACTGAGCAATTGTGAGAATGAGGCATCTAAGTAGGAGAAAGCTGTCCAGTCGTGGTCTTCATTACCAGCTTTCGTTGCTTCAAAGCAGAGCGTGAAAGCGCTGAGCTCTGGAATGGAGACGCTCTTTGCAACAGATACCTGGTAAGCATCTGGAGTCTGAGGTAAAACGACCTTTTGATTCCTTAAGGACACAGCAACTAGGACAAAGCATAACACCGAAGTAAGGCACATTAACTCCAGAATTTGTCCTACTGAGGTACAAAAAGTCTGACGCACCGCACTGATACTCATTAACCTTTCCCCCACTTCCTGCCTTCTCACCCCTCTGTCCATCCTCTATCCCCAACCCTTCCCACAGTCTTATGCCTTTAATAATATCTAAGAAATCCTAGCCATTTTAGCTGTGCACAATCACATCTTACACCTAAACTGTGACTTAAACCATACAAGTTGGTAAATATTTTTAATCTTGAAATTAAAGATTAAAAAATTTTAAAAACACAACTCTAAGATGAGGTAAGAACTGGTTTCAGGAGATTAACAGCTGTCCTCCGAATGCTATTTACTGCTGGTTTCAGCTGGCAATATAGTTCAGTGGTAGAGTGCTTGCCTAGAGTGTGGAAGGTGCTGAGTATTTTCAATACTACGAATAATAACAGTTTCTTATAAATGGTAGCTTTAATACATTTTAATGCATACCAAAATACTCTATGCGAAATTGTCATTTTAGAAGATCACCATAGTTACAGTCCATGAATCTCATAGGCAGTTACTGTTTTAGAAATCTTGCCATTTAGATATACATTTCCCTTTCAGCCAAAGATTATTTTATAGTTTTTTTTTTATTTCAAGAAAAAAGGGAAATTTTGTTGTATGGTTTCGTTATTAATATTTATTCTTATTTTGTTATTTTCAGAGACTGAGTCTATATTATTTGTTCTTTTGGAATTTATTGAAATTCACTTTACATTAATTATAAGCTTAATGTTCATAATTCTAACACACTTGTAAAAATGTCATCTATCTTTATATCTGTCCTTCTCTCTTTTTGATAGTGGGAAGTGAACCCAGAGGCTTTGCAGTGAGTTACATCTCTAGTTACTCAGTTTTTATTTTGAAATGGCAAATCATCATTTTAGTATAAATACTCTAGTAAAAATCTATGAAAGAATTATGAGAGCCATGAATTTCTACCTAGTTTTTAAATATAAAGCAGTTTATGGATCTATTTAAAAAGGTTATTATGCAATACAAATTATATATTCTTTATATATTAAGATTAAAAAAGCTGTAATAAAATATAACCATCAATGTTTTATTAGTGATTGTGGCTAGGAGGGGAATGTAAAGAAATTCTAATTGGCTTCTTTTTTATTTCTAGATTTTCTACACTTTGTAATTTCTTAAAACACTGCTTTGAAATATTGTATGTGTGTTTTATTTAACCACACATGTACTTAATATCACAAACAGTAAACCTTCTTAATCACAATACACAATTCATAATAACGTAGTTACCATGATTGTATTTTTCTGTTGTTGTTGTTGTTTTTTAATGCATAACTTCATTAAGAAGCTCAGTAGAAAAGATACCTGGGTCTTAGTCTTGAAGCTTGAGTTTTCTTGGTTTTAGAGATAAGATTCATCTTAATGTTATGATGTATCAGAATTTGGAAAACATAATTAATAATAGTTTTTGTCCCTGCAACTGAGTTTTCTTCAGGCTAACTTCTTTATTAGTTTAAATTCTTTTTAAATATATGTGCTAAATTTCTGTTTTTGTTATCTAGAATATTCTCCAAAAGAATACCATCATAAATGTCCAAAATAAACTTATCTCTACATAGGACCTCTTAAATTTTCAGTGGAGGAATGTTAGAATTAAAAATTTTAATTACTAGCAGTGAACCATGTAGTTTTACAAGCAGCTCTTAAATGTTTTATATAAAAAAGATTTAAAAAGAATTTAGCTTCACTATGACCAGATTCTTAATCAGGTAATTATAGCTTGTTGATGAGAACGTTCAGAGAATATTAACAGGATCCCACCCTTAAATCCTAACCCTAAACATTCACAGTCACTTACAAGAGCATAACTGTCTTCTGATCCATGTGTTTACTGCAGCACATGTTAAGTGAAAGCAGAAGGTTGGCCCTGCTTTTGGTTTACATACCTCTGATGTAGCTGGCATTGAAACCTTTCTTCTGGATGCTAAAGTCACTTGAAAAGGACACATGCATCTCATTCGCACTTGAGTTAAATGATAGGCCTTTGGCAGTTGCTCCGCAAAATTTAGTCTGGCTCTCTCCATTATCGAGAGATAAGGAGTCGTAAATGCAATTGGGAGCTTCTTCAATGTCGAAGTCATTAAATGTGATCTGAATGATGTAGCCAGCGGGCGCTCGGAGGGTCCACAGGCAGGCCTGGCTGTTGGGGTAGTCGTTAGGGTAGCACGGAGAAGTAAAGGTCCCAGAAGGGCTGGACAAGACAAGCCGGCAGCTGGCACATCCCGACACTGCTGGCCAGACAAAAGAGAGAGAGAAAGGCTGGATGAAAGGCGTGCGATAGACCAAGAACGCCACACACTAGGGACAGTCAAACGGAAAACATCTAAAAATACCAATGTACAATCATGGACATTAAATGGAAGACGAAACCAGCTTGAAGAGAAAAAGAAAAGTTATAGAAAAATACTAAACTGTCAATGGAAATGACTCGCAAACTTGGGGGGAGGGGTCATAAGCCTGGAATCCACTGAAAGTCATGGACACTGTCTCCCCAGAATGGTCAGGGCCAGGGCATGTGGTATCAAAACCCAAGGAGCAGATAAATACTGAGGAGTCCTCATGAGTTTCAAGAAAGTTCACCAATCGGCAGAAGGAATCTGCAGAGTGATTAAATTGCAATGGAGGAGGTTGAAAACCCTCAGAAAGGTGGAGCTCTATATTGTAAACTATAAAAGTAAAGAAAGACAGACTCCTAAAAAATAAATATTTGAACAGCTAAAAATACAAAAAAAGTCATCTTTTGGCAGATTACATTTTTTTCTCAAATTTAAATAAATAGCATTACCGTGCACCATGGAATATTTATAGCTTCCGAAGTGCTCAGACTCACCCTCCTTGTTTACTAGGGATGGTTGTTCCGTACTTGTGGGATCACCGCATTGACTCACTCACTTGTTGTTCACCATGTTCACCTGTTACATGCCCAGCAGTGTTCTGAACAGACAGAGCAATGGGTGGAAAAGGCAGTCTCCATATGAAGGATTCTTACACTTAGATCTTGGACCCAAAGATGACCAGTCATATAATATAACGACAGATGGTGACAAAGGTGCAAAGAGAAGTAAAGTGAGGTACAGACAGAAGGGGCAGGAATGCACGGAGACACTGGACAGTTCTCCATGGAAGTGACATCTTAGCAGAGGTCCCACAGAAGTGAGGGCACCTCACCAGCCCAAGGTACAGCAGCAAGTGATCCCCTGTGAAAGAACGCTGGCCTTTCCACTGAGCTGTGAGTCCATGATGCCAGGACACATATGCCCCTCACTTACTGCTAGATTCCCAGTGTACACAGTAGTCTCACAATAAATATTAACTGAGTGAGTATGTCCCCAAGAATCTCCTGAGGTAGAAAGATGAAATGTTATTATCACAGTTCCACTCACAAGAACATTCAGCGTCTTTTCAGTTACTCTTTTTCCTTGGCTGGCCACTGGCTGGAACTAGAGAGCAAGGACAGTCTCCTGGCTAGCACCTAGAAGCGAAACTGCAACTGATATTCAACCGTAAGTGTGTAACCCTCTGGGCTCACCTGGATCACAGTGAGTGAAGAGGAACCATCTTGGACTACACACAAAATATATATTATAGCTGATAAACACGAGGGAAAAGTTTATTTAAAATAATTTTTTATTATGACACTAACAAAAAAACCCCAAATGGACCAGAGCCTAAAGGTCAGAGAACTCTGATACAGGCAGCAATCTTATTTATTCAAATTCTCCATAAACTTATTGCCATAAAACTGACACCACCAACTTTCAAAAAGTAAAATGCTTTAGCTTTATGATGGGAATCATTTTAAATTTATTGTGCTCCTCTTTCTTTTTATTAAATTGAATAAAATGACCTTGTGGTAACTCGTCTTGAAAATGAGAGTTTTTAACAAATATCAGTTGTTCTTCTGTGACACAGTGAGATATGGTACATGGCTGGAGGCTGGTTCTTCCTTGTCTTTTCCTTGTGGTCATCTTGCATTGCATTATTTCCCTTCCCAATCTGCTCTCCACTGACTTTAACTTGCCCTCTCTCCATTCTCTCTTAGTCCCTAGTATCTCGTAGAGAACTGAAGACGGAAAGGGGAAAAAAGTTACGACACCAAGTGTTTGCCAAATGCCTTTTCAGCTGCATCCCTGGAGTACTATGTTCCATGTCTTTATAGCACTATGCAGAGTAGTTGTGTTCCAACTGTGAGATTATTTGCTTGCTTACATCCTCTTCAATTACTCTGTAAATTCAACAGAGATACCTACCTGCTACATTCACCACCCCATTTCCAATACCCTGCAGTATTCCTGACACATGGGAGATCCTCAGAAAAATGTTTAAATTCATGAAAAAACAAGCATCTTAAAGGAAAAGAAACACGCCTAAATTACAGTTGGGCTGTCTTCAATATATAAAACAAAGTCAAATTCTAAGCCTGAAGTAAGGGGAAAGGTTACATGAGCTCTGGAACAACTCTTTGGATGGGGCATTGAGATTCTCTATTTCAATTTCTTATGCACCAGCCCAGGACTGAGATTAGTGGGCCTCTGACAAATTTAGCTCACTGCGTCTACAGATTGGACTCAGGTAAGACAACTAATACAAATCAGTAATTTACATACAGTAAATTGATAAAGATAAGATTCTTTTCCTCACGCCTAAGACCGAGTAATGTCCATAACTTTCCTTGTTTGATATTATTTCTGCCAAATTCTTCTCCAAAAGCTTAATAAAGAGAATGAGAAATTAAATTAGATTGCTAACACTATACAACCATGAGCAAACTACTCTCTGTGCTTCAGTTTAACCACCTTAATACCAGGGGTAGTGACACAGCCCTGAGTTATTGGGAGGATTTCATAAGTTAATACAGGAACATCTTGGAAATTGAGCAAGGCACATGCTAAGTGCTGCCTTCAATCAGTTTTTACTAAAACACAAAGTCTTCACATCAATAATTTGAAAGAGTAAAACAGCAGCCTACCTGAGTAGAATCTCTTTTTCCTTTAGGTGTTTATCGAGATAGAAAAGAGACAGGTAAGACGTCTACAGTATGAAGTAAAAAATTGAAAACGTTCTTCTACATGACTCTTACCTTCAGTGGCTAAACACACTTAGAGACAGTGCTACTAAACAGCAGTTATTTTATTGGATAAAACACTGAACGAGGAAGAGTATTATTTGGTTCAATGTATTTTAGGATCGCTTCACAGTATGTAAAAAATTTTTGTATGTACTCTCATTTAATATCATAACAACCACAGAAATTACTACATCTCAAATATTTTGTAAAATAAATGAGACTAAAATAAATTATATAACTTGCTATGTGATTGATAACACAAAGAAGATTCAAATAAACTCTTCTGAACACAAATCTAGCATCTTTCAAGGGAGAAAAATGGCCATAATAAAAAGATGGGAAGCAAAGATGGTGAGCCCAAGTACTACTGCAGACTCCATTTTTAGTGCAGTTTTCAAACACATTGTAACTGGCTTAAAATTAATATGTTTTAAACTAATTTGTAAATATTTTATTAAAGAATAGTAGCAAGTCTGGAATTTAGTGCTTTGGATTTGCTCATTTGCAATAAGCAAATGTCAGGAGCCCTTAAGTATTTGTTCTCTCTCAGAAACAAGGCTACTTAAAAAGATCACACTGAAGTAGCCAGTGAGTGAGACCTTGTAAAACCAGGGTAACACATCTCGTTAAAAAGTCAGAGTTTCACAGTGTTCTCAAAGACAGATACACTAACATATTCTCACCCCTAAATTATAAAAGGAAACCTTTTAGGTAATCTAAACAAACCAAATGCCACCCTTAGTGCTTGCCTGTGCTTTCAAATGTCTAGCAGTGATGTCCATGTATTTTCACCAAAGTTCATTTTTCAGTGAAACTCATACCCTTGATAAAAAAAAAAAACCTCCTAGTCAACCTAAAACCTAACTGATATGACATGCACCTACAGATTTAATAATCAGTATCTTATTGAGATTTTTTAATCTAAGAGATTTGGATTCTTGCTTTACTCCGATTCAAATGCTTCTCTGTAGAATTCAAGTTACTCTTTAAAAGTCATAAATCAAATTAGAAATAAATGTCAGCTGATTCCAACACAAATCTGTAGATGGCATTGAATAACCATTTTTTCCGTGTTAAATGGTGAACTAAATTAATACATTTAAGTTAAATCATTTTCCTCACTTGAAAAGTGTATATATTTGCAACTAATGAACTTGTTGGAAAGGTTGACCAATGAAACTTACCTCCAGAAAAGTTCTCAAGTCTACTGTTCACCCTGCAATCGATTTGAAATCAACATTTCAGTAATATGATTATATGATTATTAAATTCTAATGAGTAAAAAGCTCAAAAAAATTAAAATGTTCAGTAGCCTGGGTGGTTTCTAAAAACGAAACTAGGCCAACAACTGAGAATTCTAGACCAGTTTTAATCATTAAAGGACCAAGAGAACCATGCATCACTACTCCAGGTCAAGCCAACTGATAACATCATTGAAATGTAAACTATAAATAAGATTTTAGATGCTGGCAAGTATCAAAGACTAATAGTATATAGAACTGGATAACTTTATCAAAGTAAGTATTTACATTTAAGTGCTTACAAACCACTTGGTAGATTTTTCAGAATGGCAAGGAATGTGGAGGCAATCTGGCTGTGACATCTGTGATTCTGTTAATGCGACAGACTTGGCAAGTTTCCCTGCCCGCCTTCCTGACTCCTCCAAACTCTGCATGCAGAGACAGCATTTCCACCCTGAGGAGTGCTTCTCACAGGCCTTTGGTCATTCCAATTTCCTATTGGAAATTCTTGCAGCTGAGCAAAAATATCAGTTCACTCCCACCCTGATAAAGAACACTGGTGTTCCCAGCTAACGAGATAATTGTTTCATTTCCTTCTGTAATGGTTCAGCCTCAGAACGTCTTTGGAAACATGGTGAATAGAAAGCCACCGCAATGACTTAAGCATGAGTTCAAAAGGGCACTGCTTTACTTGGATCAGTTCAATCAGGTCTGATGACATAGCTAGAAAACAAACAAGATGTGGAACTGAAAATTCTTTGATGAGACAGCATTCATCTTGACAGTTTTTTGAATCTCCACTTACTTGCACCACACCCTGAATGATATCTCTGTGTTCTATAACACTACTCATACATAATCTATTTCTATAATCACCCTGGCAAGAGAAAACTTTATACTGAACTGCAAAAAATGCCAACATGCGAATAGCTGTAAATCCTCCTAGAGTCAGTCTGTTATGTAGATATACAGTGTGGCCTTGGAGGAGGATTATACACACAAGCAGACATACATACACACCCACAGACATTTCCATGGGAAACTATTAAGAAGTGGTTGGGTCTTTCTATCTGTAAAAGAAAAAAATCTAAAGGCAATAGATAATCTAAAGCAAACCAAACTGTATGGCTTATCATTTACTCTGTTTCCTGGATAATCTATTTAAGTTTCTGTTTCCCTTCCCACAGTTGCAAACATCCAACTGTGGACTGTGGACTCCAGGTATAAACCTTCTCAGTTTGCACATCACTGCTGAAAAGAATTTACAGAATCGTGCAGGTTATGCATCCTACAGAGGCTTCCACATTTGCCTTACTCACCCTTTGCAACACTTACTCCCGCTAAATATATCATTTCCATCATTCTCACCTTTTCCTCCTCTTCCTGTCACTTCCGCCACTCTCTAGCATTTCCCCCAGTTACCATTCTTGTTATTCAGAAGGTGATTCTCAGACCTGGAAAGATCAGTCTCACCCCAGAGCTTTTTAGATTTATGGAATCACTGATATCCATTAGACAAAATGTGCAGTTTAAGATTTTAAATGATTCTAAGAAGGCTTCCTTTAAACAACAACATGCTACAGAAGATACTCACAATCTTCATGCACACAGCATCCCCTAAGAGGATCTCACAAATCCTGGTGTCACATTTGCTACTAGTTCATTCAGGGCAAACAAACTCAGGGCTTTACTAATCACTCAGTCTCTCTTTTTGAGGATTTGAAGTTAGAGATGCAGATACTTTCCTCAGAAAATGACATGGTAGCAAAGCTGATAACAATGAAAACAGAAACAAAAATATAGTGGACAAAAAGATGAGAGCAAATCAGATCCTTGAGAAACAGACTTTTAATCCCCGACTTTCAAATGGTAGCTTTTCCTGGATGCTGTGGCAAGAATCCCTAGTATATCTACTTCCATGCTTCTTCCCTTGGTCCAGCTTTACTGGATTTGATTCTTGCAAGCAAATGTATCCCAAGCCAATACACTATGGGGTCCTCCTTTCTCTATTTATTCTACCTGGGTGATCACGTTTGAACAAAAGCCTTCATTATACTAAGGTCATACATGAGGCCACCAAACTGAGGCCATCCATGCACCATATCCACTCTTGCAAAGGTCTACTAGACATCTTTCCTTGGCTATTCAACAGATTCATCAATCCAAACACCATTCTCCAATAATTAGTATCCTCTTTATAAATAGCAGCATAAGAGTATTCAAAGTTTAAGTTTCTCAACTCCTCTCTTGGAGAGAAGCCACAATACAAGTCTGGTGAATACTCTCATCTCCTCTAACTCATTTGCCCCATAGCTACCAGAAATATCTATCAAAATGCAAATGTAAATATGAAAATATATTTTCTTTCATTCCAAATCCTCTCTCAGATCCAGGAAGACAAGGCCCTTGAATGACATACGCAGCCTTGCATATTTGCTCAGTTCATGATTTGTGTCACCCCTTACCATCACCCTGCTTCGATTCACTCTAGCAACTTAAACATCTCTATGCTTGGCACGGTGTCAGGTCTGAGAATACAATCAGGTACAAGAATTCATCCCTGATTTCGTGGAATTCATAGGTTATTGGAAATGTAGATGAATAGCGGTAACACCTAATGCTCATTGCTCTGATAACGCAAGTAATTTGAATGCCACGGCCTAGGTCCTAGGCTTAGACGTGTAGAAATGCGGCCACTGTTAACAGAGGAGAAAGAAGCTGAGATCTTAACACCTCTTGAGAGTGACAAAGAAGAAGGGTAGATAGGGATAAAAAAAAGGTGAGGGTGCTTCAGGCAGTGGGATAAGCAGGGCTGAAAGCTGAGTGAGACTGAATGTGGATTATTCAAGTAAAGGACGAGTTTAGCTTGGCTAAGGTATAGTGTGCAAGATAGAAGTAAGAAATAAAGACAATGGAGGGAGTGATTAGACTTTACAGGGTTCTACAAGGTCTGTCAAAAATTTGAAAAATAATAAGAGCAGCAGGGAAAATAAAGTAAAAAACCAGGTGTGTGTTTCCTATAGAGATTAGTTTTTAAAACCTCATCCCTCTATAGAAAGATAACACAAAACTACCAACAGACTAAGATTCTTATAAGAATCACTCTAGCCTAACTCTAAGAATTTGACCAATGACAAGAAGAAAGACAAAAGACAGAAAGCTATGCTGACAGTTTGTTTGTGAGAAAAAAATAGCGTACAGTGGCAGGCCTGCCTAATTCCACAAGGACTGAATTTTCTGGGGCAAAGCCTGTTTGTTGATAGGCAGTAAAGTGACTGTTTCAGCATCCATCAAAGATCTGTCTTATTTTGATCTTCTGTGTTAATACGTCTCCAAAAACACTGAGGAACTAGAAAACAATCATTCACCTAACATTAATTTCACTTGAGTATGTCACAGAAAATCCCTGTGGATTATCTAGGCAGTGTCACGGGGCAAAACTGGTTTACGTTGGCACTTACTCTGAAGAATACTGGTAAGTAGTACCAACAAAGGAGAGAATGTCTTAGCCTCGTAAAAGTTAGCTATAATTTTAATACCCATAAAGACAATGACATCATTGCTGGCTAAACAGCACATTACTAACTTCTTGGGCACATGAATGTAGCTAATGAGATATTCTTATTAGGACTATACTTGGCTCATCCTTAGATGCACCAATAATGCTGCCTTTCAGTTTTATTTTGATTATGCTGTTGTTTAATAGAACAGTTCATTCATTCCCTTTCCTGGCCTTCTCTTCCATTCTTGTTTGATTTTCTTTTATATGTTTTTACGTATAGCTACCAGAGGATAGTCAGAAGGCGAGGGAGGAATAAAATAAATATTAGGAGACATTAAAGGTTTTTCTTCCTATTATTCCACGTAATGCCGCACAGGTGAAGAACCTGAAATTACTAGCTAGAGAAGATTTTACATTTACAAACTCACTTTCCCAATAAGTTGGGAGAATATATTTGAAGAAGATGGTAGTAGCAGGGTAAGTGTACATGTTAGCTCAAATTTTCCAAATGAGTCTTTAATTTGAGGACATAAAAAGCCCTCACTCAGGTTCCTGTACACAAATGGAAACATTTGAAATAGTCAAGGTTTGGCACAAATTACAGATACAACTGGCATGATTTCATGCCTTTATGGAATACATGGTTCTATAAACATCATAGTACTAAGAAATGCCTGATTTTAAAAATTCACAATATAGATTTTAAAGAATATTTTTAGTAAAACTTTCCATTTTATGTATGAAGTGCTTGTTTATTGTATTCATCTAACTGCTTCAACTCATTTTTCAAAATATTTACATGTTAACTTTTCACACAGATCTGTTAATATGTTAGTGGAGTCTGTGTATAGATGATAAACAAATTATGCTGTTCTGCTCAACAAATTCTGATTTTTCTGAACTTTCAAATGTTTTCTTCAATTCTGACTTTCTTCTAACTAGAAGATAATATCTAACTGTGGAAAAAAATAATGATGTGGACCACATGCTTATAAAGCTGAAGCAGAAATTTTCCACATCTCCAGATCTAAAAGTATGCCTTTCAAGGTAGGTCCTTTAAAATTTAAATGCACTCATACAAACTCGTGAAACATCATTATAAAACACAACCACATGTGGAGTAAGAGAAATAACCATAATAATAGTAATAACTATAATTTAAAAAACTAGCATATAATAACTGATTACTATGTGCTAAATGAGAGAAGAAAGACAAAAATCACCGTCCTCAAGCTTATGTGTGTATCCTGCCATATGACAATCACAGATGCTTCTGGTCTTGGACCTTCCATTGATCAATCATCAAATGACCTTGAGTCAGTCACCAGACGTGGAGTCCTTGGTTTCCATGTTTTACAAATCATGTCTTTTGGTTCCAGAGTCTAGGATTGGCGATAGATTTAGCTTCTCATGCACAATAGAGCTTCAGTTCCTTCCTGCACTATAAAGAAGCTTCCAGAAGAATTATAAAAT